GATTCTATCAGCCGAAATTGCATCTAGTCTCTCTCTTAGAGCTTTAACTCTATGACCCATCTTGAGAAGATATGAGAGCTGGTTTGATTTCGAGAAGAAAATACGTACCTTTTTTGACATTTCATTTCCCTTCATTGCCTGTCGCCCCAAAACTTCGGTGGAGAAATCATCCAGCAAGTCGTCCACATCATAAACTGCATCTTTCAGCTGCTTGAGCCAGACTGTGACCTCTCGTTTGTTGCTGTTGTGCTGCTCCTCTGCATCGAGAAGGACAGCTTTGATAATGGAAATAGTTCCTTCAAGCTTGGTGAGTTCAGCTTTTGCATTACTGGCCAAGCTAAGCTCTCGGAGAGCTAAAGGTCCCAGACCTTCCAGGACTTTTCCAGCAATGTCAAACAAAACTCCTTCAGCCATTTCTTTTTTTGTCCGTTTGAAAGATAATTGTAAGAGTTTTTGAAAGAAGGAAAATCTCTTGACTAGTGAATCATGATCACGTACCACTGCAGGACGGTCACTAAATTGGAATTTGATTGTACGTAGTCCATGTGACTCTACAGGACGGTCACTAACTTGGAATTTGATTCTTTCCTTAAGATGGAGAAGAATATGTTTCCTAAACCCAAAAGCATGAAGAAGATGCTAACTTATTAAGGTGGAGAAGAATATGATTCCTAAAGCTAAAAGCTTAAAGAAGTTACAAACTTATGAATGACAAAAGATGTCACTGGGAAAGCCAAGTAAGAAGAAAAGAAGAGAGAGCGTTAAGCGGGGAGCCAATCTACCACTTTCAGCTCAACTGAAGAAACCGACGGACAGGTTACCTTTAGGGTCCGTTTGGTATAATGTAATGTAAAACATATTATTTATAATGTGGCTTATTAAATTACATTACAGTATTTGTTTTATAACAGATCATTGCAATGTAAGATTGTAATACAATCACATTACAGTCAATGGATGTAATGTGATTACAGTCCAAAACTAATACAATCACATTACATTGTACTCTGTAATGTTCTTAAAGATAATTTTACTTTTCAATTTTATTACCTTATTAAAAATATTTTATAATATTATAATTAAAATAAAAATATTATAGTAAAATATATAATATAAAAATAAAAATAAAATATAAAAAATTAACATTTATATAATATAGGTAAAAAAAATTAAAATTTAAAAGTATATAATATAAAAATATATTAAAGAAATGAAATAAAAAATATAAAAATTAAATAATAAATAAAAATAAAAATATATGACATTAAAAATATATTTAAAAATGATATTATATAAAAATTAATAATATAAATATAAATATATTAAAAATAAAATATAAAATATTATAATAATAAATAAAATAAAATATATGACATTAAAAATATATTTAAGAAATGATATTATATAAAAATTAATAATAAAAATATAAATATATTAAAATAAAATATATAAAATTATAATAATAAATAAAAATAAAATATATGATATTAAAATATATTAAAATATGATATTATATAAAAATTAATAATATAATATAAATATATTAAAAATAAATATAAAATATTATAATAATAAATAAAATAAAAATATATGACATTAAAAATATATTTAAGAAATGATATTATATAAAATTAATAATATAAATATAAATATATTAAAATAAAATATAAAATATTATAATAATAAATAAAAATAAAAATATATGATATTAAAAATATATTTAAGAAATGATATTATATAAAAATTAATAATAAAAAATAAATATATTAAACTTATATTTTAATAATTAAGGATAATTTTGACAATTAACATTACATTCCCACTAAAGTACTTGTAAACCAAACACTGCAATGTTATCTTCCCTGCATTTTAATCATTATTTTGCTTACATACCAAACACTGTAATGTTATTTTCTCTGTAATCACATTGCTTGCAATCACATTGCATTGTAATGTATCAAATACCACCTTAGTTCCACGCAGCCAGACTTGTGGTCCAATGTCTGGCCTGCTGGTTGATTTAACCCAATCCTCATGGAGAAACAATCTGTTAAGGCTCAAGGTTTATGTGTTTCTTGGGCTGTGGCTTCTAGCCACAGTTTGAATATTTTTGGATTTTGGGCTTCAGGGGTAGGTCTTCCTCAGCCCAGGTGAGATACATAGCCTTGAGGAAGCTTAGGTCTAGTTTGGCACGAGAACTTTAAATAATGAATCTAACCAGTTTCGAACCACCATTAAATTGATTTGCAGTTAAAACTTTGAATTGTATTATATTTTTACTGCAATTACTGTTAAGTGGCAAATAAAACTTTGTTGGGTTCATCGAAACACTCTGGTTTAGATGAAAACAAGAACAAATTACAAGCAAAGTCGACAACTTGTTAGTCTTTTGATTTATTCTAATTACTGACTATATTATCAAAAACTTTTTTAATATTATCATTGCCTAGTACTACCATAATTAAGTGGATTACATGATTTGAAGTAAATTGTTTCCATTTCTTTTCCTCATTCTGTGCCTTGCTAGAAAATTTAAAACTTGAACTTAATTAAGATTCTAAATGATTACACAGAAAGCATATCTCATATTATTACATGATCATTGCCGACAAATTAAAAATGTGTAGTAGTAATTAGTAAATATAAAAGAGGATTAACTTATAAGGTTTAGTACTCTGGTATAAGTGTAAAGTTTTTGTACTGCATTGTGATCAGTCAATATAACTGCAGCTTTGATCTCCCTTAGCTAGGCTTTTATCTCAAACTTAATCTTTATTAATCAAAATAAGATGAGATATTAATAATTAGAACCTTTTTCAATCAGTGCATTAATTATTTTATGTAACTTTGAAATGTGTAAAAACTAACAGAAAACACAAAGCATTTATCATAATAAAACCTTGAGCTATCATATACCAAATCAAACATTAATAGTTTTGACATAAATCCTACAAAGCTGTCTCTCATTTAAACTTCTGTGGTCTAAAATTGACACGTACATTGTAAATGGTTATCACCATTCAATTCTCATCTCAGTTATATTTGCTACTGTATCTTTGTCAAAGGGGGGCGACAAGCCATAGTACTCTTGCTGTCATCACGGCCTGCCATGGGGACCATTGAATTCCCTGTGTGGCCCCCTTCGACCCACCGTTCTTATGGCCGTTCATGGTGAAAAAATCCAAGTGAATTAATAATAAATCGACTTAATTATTAAATTTGTTCATTTCGATAACGAATAATTTTAGATTTAAATTTTACTAATAAGTTCTTTCTTAACGTTAATGTTAAATGCACAGCTTATGAGAAGGAGAGAATCAAGAGTAAATCTTGGAATTTCAAATTGACTAAAGATTTAAAAAAAAAAAAAAGGAATTTCTATTGAACATCTGGTGTCTAATTAAAGTGATGAGAAAGTTATGGATGGGTTAGGGCAGCTGGTGCTATAGTAGGTAAAAGGTAATGTATATGAAGAGGGGGACCATTAATTTTATTGCAGTGTAGTTCTTAAATTTGGTATAAATAGCATAACATTTTAGATTGAAAAAGCTGCAAAGGGATGAGGGAGGAGGACATCTACGAATTAAGATGCATCGCTATCAAATAAAAGGGGCATAGTACTACCGATCATCAATCAATACTGGTCGATATGCACTATAAATGTGCCAACCATTTTTTCTTGGAGGGCAATTAGCCTATAGGAGGAGGATGAGGTCGATACATGGGTTGGTTAAGGTTTTTTCCTTTTTTTTTCTTTTTTTGAGTGCTTTGAACCAGACAATTTTGATCAAACAAAAGAAAAAATCTGCAGACAAAGCTGTGGCACATGGAAAGTACTAAACATGAAACACATAGGTTGACAAAACAGGGGCGGAGCCAAGGGCTCATGTGTGGTGGCGGCCATTAACTTCAATTTTTAATTTTCTTTATTATTATATGTATAAAATTTGATATATATATATATATATAGTATTATTACTTTTATAATTACTTTTTAACTATTTGTGCAAAGTCTTAGATTCATTATTAGTGACAAGTATTAAATTGAATAGATATAGAAGTAGTGGGATCATTCATGCTTTTGCCTGCAGGAATTAATCCATGGAGGGCTATATATTTATAACCATGACTTAAGTAATCCAAGTAATTTGGCTAGAGCAAAGTACTGGGGGACTTAAAAATAGTCAACTGGCTATAACATGACACCATTTAACTATCTGGAACTTATTCTGAATATTGCTTTTTCTCACAAAATTCAATGAAGCAGTAGAGTGTTAAGATTTTGTTTTTGTTGGAGGAAGAGGAAATTCAGTAAAGTGCATATAAATGTATCTAGATTCTGCAAATATTCACTGCATTATTATTGATATCTTATTTTGAGCTTATAAAATTTTGTATTGCAACTGTACTGATCATATCCTAGAAGTTGCTTTTGAAGCAATACTCTATAACTGGAATTAACCAGGAAAGACAACTCTATAATATAAAAGAAGTCTTGACTAATTCTATAATGTTAATCAAATAGCAATATAGCATATGGAACACATTTTGAAATTATAAATAGTAAAGCAAAATAAGACAACTTCTGCAACACTTTGGATATTATTCAAAACTAAAAAAATGAAGAAAAAAAAAAAGAAAAGGCTGCATCAGATCACTCAGAAAGGACTGATTAATGGCTAATACTTATATTAAATCAGTCATTGCCATTCCATTTTATTCATTGATAATAGTGAATGGTATGATAATTCAATTAACTTCTGTCCAAAGATGAAGATCAAAAAGAGGAGGAAATGGACAGTGATAATATCTCCCAAAGCCCCACACGTTTAGCTATTGATGTTGTGAACTTGAACTAGTCAGATTAATACTGTTAGCAGTAAATGCATTTTCTGTAATTACTTACAAGCAAATATTTGATTGCCATGCAAAAGCTGTGGCATAAGATTTTGAACTTAGATGTATACTTAAGATATCTAATGACCTTACGCCATTAAAGCTTTGATCAAGAAATGAAAGAGTCCGATACACAAATCAGAAATGAATTATCTATGAATGCATGGAACATCTGTTGAGTAAGATTGATTTGTTATGATCACATCGTGCATGTTTAAGTTGTTTTTCCCCAGACTGAGTGGACCTGTTGAAGAAGGAATGATTCATCACAGTTCCTTTTCACTTGTCAAAATGACATAACAGCTTTTGTCACTAAATGCCCCACATGATTTGGCTTAAGATTCTTCCTCAAAATCCATGGCTGATAAGCAAGAAAGCCACTTGCCTTTGGAAACCATATGTCATGTACATCACTGGTTCCTCAACCAAGTTTCCACAGCAGCTTCCGAGCAAAAACTCCATTGAAGATTATAACTAATGCATGGGCTTCTAGACCTATTTCTCTTTTCAAGGTCCTCCTTTGGATTCGTTTGCTACAAGGATAAATATAACCTGATACCAAAAATAATAATAATAATAATAATAATAATAATAAAGTTAAATTTCGCAGCCTTTCTCACATATAATGGAGCCTATATAGCCCCAAGAGTCCATCAAATCATTTACCCCAAATCGATGACCCCATGTATAATCATGTGCAAATATTGAAAGATAATTGCAAGGAGATTTGTCATTTAGAATCATATTGATTCCAATTTTTCAGAGTTACAGCTAATGCTGTATGTATTTTTTGTTTTTTCGTTTGTTTTGCACGTGGGACGTTCAGCCAGGATTTTCCTGACTGGTGATGTCCTCAAACCAGTCAGAAACAAGCAGCAGTATCTTATTTTATTAATCCTTTTTTTCCTTTTGCCCATTTTTTTTCATGTGAATGTTGAAAACAAGTAGTTTTATTGTAGGTTTTTCTTAAAGAACGACAAGAAAGATGATTGAGATGCCTAACCTGGATATATATGAAATCTGTGCACTGAAATTTATCCCCAATCTAAAACATGAGAGCATAAGCTTGGTAATGTCAAAGAAAATAAGAATATTAGAAATAGAGCAAACATATGTATATCCTGAATTAAAATTAGATATGTATCCAATCTATTCTAACGTCACAAGGGAAATAAAGAGTTAAGTAAAAGAAAAAATCACCAGATAAATTGTCTACGGGAAGATCAAATATATGCATGTTTCTTTTGGAGGGGAAGTGGTTACTAGGGGAATAAAGCAATAGAAAAAGAAGGAATGAAACTTTGGGTTGATTCAGGTGAAGTCTCAATAACCATTATATTTCGCAGATAGTAGCTGATGTGAGAACTTCCTTTTTGCTCAGCCAAGAAAATAAACGCATTGATAGCTTTTAAATATACAAAAGAGAGTACCACCCATGAGCGCAGGAGCATGAAAGCTGCCGCTCAATACAGAACATCCATGGAAAAGGAAATAAATCAGGGGCTGACAGGAATCAGCTGATGTGAGAACTATTAAGAAGAATAAGCCAGCAAGGAAGAGAAGAATGAGGAAGAAAGCAAACATTGCCTTAATTAAGTAGCTCTCAAGAACCCAAGAATTTATCCTGAAAGTCATTATATTTCAAGAAATTAATAATTAACAGATGATAAGGAAGATTATGATTCAATCTTTTTTGTTGAGTACACCGGATTTAAGTGAAACTGAATATAAATCAGAAACATATCTGCATTGGCAGCAAGTTAAAAAATTTGAGGATGCCAATGAAAAACGGTACCTAAAAGCATCATTCAACAAATTATAAGACATTTAAAAGAATTAAAGAGACATGGTCAAGAACAAAATTGGCAATGGGTAGCAAAAATTTCTCCAATCCAAACTAAACATTGAGATATTAGTACCTTCCAAAAGACCCCATTTGAGTTTCATGATAAGCTTCAAGAAATCAAAAGGTAGGATAAAAAAATTGCACAAAAATGGAGAAAAATATTTTCATTAAGGCAAACAAAACCCTATATTCCATAAACCCTAAAAAAGATAAAAACACAAAAAGAAACTGTTATTGTATGGACAGAAAATCACACTAACTAGAATTCTAGACCACAGAAACTACAAGTTTCATATCTAACCTTAATTTCTTCAAACTGTAAGTTTGATAGTTGCATCTCTGATCATCATGTGCTGCAAAAAGAAAAAGCAAGAAACAGCAATAGAATAATTCAGCTTATGCAGATACATATGCAAAACAAAAATATCATATGAAAAGATCTGCAAGAACATTCCTATAAAATATATATCAATATCAAAAAAAGACAAGGGAAACAGGAAGGAAACCCGAAAAAGTCCTTTGGATTAAGAAGAGTTCACCTTCTATAGCTGCAAAAGCAGTGTAAATCAAGATCTATAAAGATTTATATGGATTTTTTTTGTGAAGTCATTTATGGCCGCTGCAGCATCATCAAGATTCTCATGCTCAAATAAAATCTATGGCATCTGAAAAAAAAACAATCGCAGTACAGGGACCACGGCTGCCGTACTATATTTGCATGTGAATCTTGATGATGCTGCAGCAGCAAAAAACGACTGATAATCTAAGTACTGTTTAGTAATCAGAAGGAATGTGAAATTTGCAGGGAAAGAGAGAAAAAGCAAAGAAAAGAAGAGAGAGCAAAGGGCTGAGGTCTTTTAGTTTTTTTTTTTTTTTGTTATGTGGCTTCTGCAAGCATATGCTAACGTGGCATTAACAAATGGATGCAAGGTCCAAAGGAGAAGCCTAGGTAGAATATACGGTTCCTAAACAAAACCTGCTGAAAAGGGCAAAGTGAAAATAAGCCAAAAATGAGAAAAATATATACATGGAAGCATATATATTAGTGAAAGTAATATGTCTTTGTTGAATGTTAAATCATGAACAAAACACTTGCCAACTACTACTACTATTACTACTTTTCTTTCTTGTAATAGTTCATGCTTCTTAAATTTTTGGGTTCAAAAAAAATTTTTTCCATCATCAAAGTTGACAAATCTACTTTAGTTCGTAGATTGGAGAAAACCCAAAGCTCAAAAAAATTTTAAAAAAATGGCAAAAATTGGGCTTAAACGGTTTTGAAAGGTTTGGCGAAAGGAAGACTGTTCAAAGAAGAAGTGCTGTTAAGTAAAGAAAGAGAGAAGACATAGGGAAAAGAGATGCTGAGATAGTCAAGATCTAGCCGCGTCAATGCACATAACATAAGAAAGAAATATATGATGAGAGACGAGAGAAGAGTAGGTGGAGGAAAGGATTGTTTGAGGTGCTTATATACACACGATATCCTCAAAAGAGATTTTTAAGTTACTTATAGATGCATGGAAATTCTATGCTCTCTCTCTTTTTCTTTTTTGAATACAACGATTTACCACAAACTTTAAGCAAAAAGAAAGATTTCAATAATAAATTTTAATATTTTTTAAAAATATTAATAAACGATGATAAATCAAATTTGAATTGCTATGTTAATAGATTGAGTATGTAACAAATTCTTTAATTCATTTGATGTTTGTGAGAGGTTAAATCGTTAAATTTTTTAAATAATTACTAAAAAACTTTACCTAACGGTTTAAAAAGGAGTAGTTTGACAATTAAAATGAAAGGTACTAGACAACAAGGAAAATAATTTAAAAAATTTTTTAAATTGAGAGCAAAGGTTGGTGAAAGATAATTTATTTAATAAATTATATTATGTGGTTGAATATTTAATCATTGGCTTAGCATCTCAACTCAATTTATTACTGTGTTAATCTAGGATTCGACCCAATATTTGCTCTGATCATTAATTTATATATATATCACAGCATCAAACATTGTGGTCCAACATGCTAGTCTGGACAGACAAGAAATTATTATTTGTACAACTTCTTTAGTTTCTCTCCTTTTTCTTTTCTTTTCTTTTTTTTTTTTTTTTTTTTTTTTTTTTTTTTTTTTTTGAGATGCAATAATAGAAGATCTATTGGCAAAAAGAAACCTCCATTATATGTTGAGTAAAGCTTACTTCTTGATTCAAAAAGATTGATCCTTGATTGGTTCAAAGTTTAAACCCTAGTTTTTGAGTATATATATGTATGAAAAATAATGCTTTTTTTTTAAAATATTGGCTAGTGATATAGTATGCTTGTAAAATATTTAGATAGGTGTGGAAGTTTTTTGTTTGAAGTTATAGTAGAATTGTCACTCAAAAGTTTCCTTCTTTAATGTGATTAAAAAAAAGAAAAAAGAAATGAAAAATATTTTCAATAGCAGACAAGCAGCCCTAATTAAATCAATGTGGTAAGCTTATGGCTTTGTAGGGCTTGCTCATTGCAATTGACAAAGAAATGAGTAGTTGAATAAGACAGAGAAAGGAATCTTGTTAACCAAAAAATATGCATACAAACGTATATATATATATATATATATATATATATAAAGTAAAAAGAATTAATAATTATCAGAATAAATATTTCAATAGCCCAATGTGGACATCGACCTGCCTTATTTGAAAACTTTCAGCAGTGCCTTTAAATATAGTGCCAGAAAAAAATCAGTGCTACTAATTCTTTAAATGAAAAAGTTATTCTGTAAATCAACTATGCATTTCTGGGTGGGTGCTTGTACCTCCCTATGTACTGTTCCTTTCCTAACCAGTTCCCTTCAGAAGATTTAAATAAAAATGAATTCTCTAGATATATATATATATACATATATATATATTATGTATGTATATTCTGATGTTAATTTGATTTGAGTACTCAAGTCCATACATTGATAAAGCAACTACTAACATGGAGTGATTTCAAAGCATTGTCTCCTTTAGTTATCATTACCAAGACTTTACTTAAGATATATAGTCATCGTTTCATTCAAGCTGTGTTATTAATGGAAGATATGCCTCAAATGGTAGACTGAACTTGGCTTTAGCAGTTAAGCTCTTCATTGACACTTCACATCATTTACTACAGCGAATGAGAAGTAACTATATATATATGTGTATGTATGTATGCAATTGTTCTTTCCCATCAACTGATGCTTGTGAGAAGAAAATATTTAGATTGGATTTGTTAATTACATGATAACAAACAACCTTTTCATTTATTCAAGCAACAGTTAATGCAGTTGATTGCTAGTATATCAATGCTATTGCTGTTATAGATAATTTAAGATATATGATCTGATATTTTCATTCAAATTGATCACAGTTCATCAACTGTAACAGAAATAAATGAGAAGACTACTTTTGCTTGGCTCACGAATCTTGGAAAATTCAGTCAAATCAAGACAGTACAATACCTAAGCATGAATCATGGTGACGACTCTCACTTACATCTCAATTCTCAATCTTCATACAAGTCTAAAAGTTGCAGCCCAAAAATATCTACTTCTCATTTGTTTTCAACAGCTGGTCTTCATGCTTTTGCTCTGATCACTGCTTAATTCCAGGGTTTTGCCTCCCCAGCATGCCATCAATTGGATCAAGTTTTAGGTCTCTTGCTTCCTTGTAGATAATGGGAAAACTGTATGTATATAATTCATTCATTTTCAATCCTTTAGTTTCATATGCGTCTAAGTTTGTCTTCTGCTAGAGAGGATATATTAGTTATATCCATGGAAGAAATTGGCGGAATGGAAAAAGATTTTCTGCTCTTGACAACTTTGCAAACTTCTGCAATTCTGTTAAATGTCATTTAATGACACAGTATCCAAGAACAAGTTAATGATAAGATTGGCATTTAGGAAAATTAACAGATAAAATCATCCATAATTATCATCTTCACCGCCTTACGTCCTCCACTAACCTTTGTCCTTGTCAATGTCAGATATAGGATTAATTATCATGATTTTCCTCTTCACAGTCATCTAATCATAATCCTTTCTTTTTCCTCATAATTATCATCAATCTTCCACTGAGTATCTTCCTTAGTTTGTTTGATACATCAAACTGTTATGAACAGAATTAATTACCTTAAAAACAGCTATTTTTCTTTTTTTTTTTTTATCCAAGTGAAAGTCGAAAGTCCTATTACCACACGAAAGATTGAATTTATACTGTTTCCTCCATAAAAAGATCTACCAGTTACAGTTTCAAAAACAAGTAGATTTTGTTAATTGGGATCATAATTCTGTTTTGCGCTCAATAAGAACCTGCCTATACCAGTTTCCTGTGCTGCAATGCAAAGGAAAATGACTCTTTTCCTAAATAGCAGAGAAGCATATTGTTTAGATTATTGAAAGAGTTGAATCTTCACAGAATATTAATTGCTATAATCCTATGATCCCAGAATACAAAGGCCGGTGGTTCATATATATTCCTTATATATATTTAGTCCTGATAGATTCGTAGAACTATAAAAGCTGTTTGCACAACAGAAATCAGTGATAGTTTGGTTTGTCATCATCCCTTTTTTTTTTTTATTTAATTCTGAGACCAATTTGTCAAGCTGTCATTAAGCTCATAGGTCAAGGGATCCACAAAAAAATTATAGGACTTAAATAATTATATTCTGTACTGCCTCTGTTGTCTTTGAATTTTAGGTTGGCGTGACAGGATTAGTTTATGGAAGGACAAATTCTAATGAGTCATCAACCTACAAAAACTTGAAAGAAACAGGCAAACCAAAATTGCTGGCAGGTTCCTTCCTTTATGTGAGAATTTAGACCTGAATTCCCACCAAACCATAAAGAAAAAATAAAAAGAGGTAAAAGGAAATCAAAAGAAAATCAAGAATGGCACCCACCTGAAATGGGGCATCATCCATATTCTCTGCTGTGTCGTCTGGACGTCAATCTTTTTGTATTCATGAAAATGACATAATATCTTGAGTGAAAAGGAACACAAAAACAATCAGACAAGACTCTGAGTATGTCAATTCTTTTTTCAACAGAAAAAAAGGGGCCAATTATGCCAATACTAAAGATATTAGAGCTTTCAAAACTATGGTGATCAAAACTATTTATATATATATATATATTCTTTTCAAAAAAAATTATATATATATATATATTTTGGATAAAATATAATTATACTTTTTAACTGCAGCTCTGCACAAAATATTATATTGAATGCTCAATGATTGTTGCTGTTGGGTTTTGATGCCTTGATTTTATCCTTTAGTACCATTGTGAGCATAGTTGCATTAAGGTCTCAATCACAAACCAGCTATGCTGGAAAAATATTTTGACCAATATCTACTCATGATTCCCACGCATCCATTCAAAAACAGACTAAACCAGTTGGTATTTGGTGACCCTACAAAGATTCATTCAAAACTTAATATATTAGGTGAGTGAAGAAACTGTTAATGGAGGTGAGGTTACATAATTGCCCTATGCATGATGAACAGCAGATTTCGATGTTGTTTAACTAACAAATTACCATGTTCGATTTGTTGTTAAATGAATGGATTTATTACACTAAATGATCATAGTCATATGCAAAAGCTAGAGAAGCGAAAAAAGAAATCATTTTCTGTTAAGAGCACAAGAAATTCTTAGACAAAGTATCATTCATATATAGCTGGATGCAAGGCATTATATGGATACAATATATATAAAAAAAACAACTTAATCATCCCCTTGTTGCATTTGCATCCAAAATTCTGAATTACAATGTAGGAAGCTGTTTCCATAGATACAACTCGAGACAAATATAAAAATCATGTTGGAAGCCCAATTTTTAACTATTAGTTAATGTTAAAATTTGCAAATTTCGTATATGAAAAATTGTACAAAGAATCTCACTGCTCTCTTCCAGCACCTTTCGGTCATGATTTTTAATGCAGAAAACATTTTTTTTTTAAATTTTGGAAGTTTATGGTGGACAAAGTAAAAAGAAGATTCCAAAAAAGAAAGAGGCCAGCGAAATGAAAACACCAGATTGTACAGCACTTGCTATGTTGGCACACTTCTTGATCGAAACCCATGATTTTATGGCGATTTGAGTGTTCCTCCCAGTATACATAGCATCCAAAGGTCTTTTCGTGGCGTAATATCAATTCAAGCTTTCACTTAAGTCCCGTTTAGTTTATATCAATTAAATAGAATCTTAATTAAAATTAAGATTTAAAATTTAAAATATCTTCCAAACTGTTTTATTCCATCGTGCTATGTAGGATTTACCTTGAATACGTAACTAACACAAATAGTTTCGAGTGGTTGCTATCCATGAGTTGCCTAATAAGTCAACTAACCCCAAAAAATATAGATACATACATATATATATATATTAATATTTTCCTGATAATT